GGCCCTGAACATTGTTATCTGCCATAATATTCACCACCACAGTTAGATCTTACGTGTTTTGTTCTTTTGCTAGGTTGATTTTCAACTTTTGCCTTCTAAGACTTGAACATGTCTAGTGATTGGGATTTCTCATGAATGAGATACAGTAGTCATAATGAGAAAAATCGTCTATAAACATGGTAAATGATTGTTGACCATTTCAAGAAGTCAAAGGAAATAATCTACTAATATTCATATGAATTAGTTATAAGACATCCGAAGTTCTATTAGCACCTAATTTCCTTCTTTTTGTTGATTTCGCCTTAATGCAAATATTTATGTCTGAAAAATCATGGAGAACAAGAATCCCTTCTGACATAAACTTTTCAATTCTCTTTAAAGAAACGTAACCTAATCACTTATATAGTATTGAAGCGAAATTCTGATCGTTTAATTCATATTTAATACCTCATGAATTTACATGCAATGTTTCATTATAGAAAACAACCGGTTCAAGCAAATATAGATTATCATGTAGAGATAAAGAACTAGTAACCACAAATTTGAATAAAGAAAAAGGCCAAACTAAATATTTTAAAATGAACAAGAATAATCAAATTTGTCCAATACAGAAATAGAAACCAAATTCCATCTAAAAGATGGTACCGTAAAAAAAATTCAGTTTTTAATAATAATCTAAAAGTCCCTATAGCTTCAGCTTCAACTTCAGCTGATTTGCTGTTGCTTACATAGAAGAATCTTTCAGCATCATTTGACTTTGGACTGTTCAAACAAACCTATATAAAAACGCTTATATGGATAGTGGAACCAAAATCAATCCACCAAGTATGTCTAGGTACTAAAATTAAATTAATTTCAAACAAACCAAGGTGACAAACGTACTTTTCTTTACAAGATAAGCGTTGTATTAGCTAGATGATTAATTCTCTTCACGCTTTTTCCTTTTTTTTTAGTCGGACTGGATGTAGCTTTTTTATTCTTTATTTTCTTTGAACTTGTTCTTAGAGGTACTAGCCAAGCACTTTCTGTTTTGTCTTTCTCCAACGTTTATTTTTCTTGCACGCAGTATGAAATGAGTTTATTAAGAGTCAACTTCTCATTATGATAGTTATAGTTGACTTTAAATTGACTGAAGTATACATGAAGAGAAATTAAAACCTAATGCACGATTAAATCATCAGACAGCTCAAGCTTTAGTGCCTTTAGTTTTGAAACAATTGAGATATCTCTATGATGTACTCTCGAATGTTTCATTTACCTTTATACTTTAGTGAAACTAAGTTCGTCAAAAACGTACTAGTTTCGATTTTATCGCTTTTCGCAAAGCGTTTTTCAATTTTATCAATAAGTTCCTAGACAGTAGTTACCTTATCTGACATAACACCCTTAAATTATTTTGAAATTCTGTACTTTATGATCAAAAGATTCATACATTTTGAACAATCTCACTTATCAAAGTCTATTTTTCATCAGCATAACTTTTACATGTAAATGCAGCGTGTTGTTTAGTCCTTAACACAATATCTAAAACCATGCAGCCAAGAACAATTTAAACATTTTTTTT